GTGTGGGGGGACTGTGGGTGCTCAGATCAGTCGCTTGTCTCGCTGGAACCGGTTGTAATGTGCTCAAATTGCCAGGTTTGTGCGGGAGCCCAGGAGAAACACATCTCTCCGCCATGATGGTTAGGCCCGCCCCATAATACAAATTTTTAATACTAGAATTTCAAGATCATGATGAGTTTGATTCCGTAATGTCTCACATGTCTTACTATTATGTATGAGATGCATGACACATTTTGTATGATCAAAACCTGTTCACTTTTATTCTTCTGGTAAAATACTTTGCCTCAGCTACACCACTTACCTATGTCAGGACAAACCCCAGTCCCAGCTCACCATGGTGCCTAGAGAATGACTACATTCAAGGGTAATAATGAGGAGATTCTGTATGGCACTGTATGGGTCCACATAATACAATCCATTGTTTACATAGTAGATGTGAATATCTGTGTATTATATGTGAATTCTGCATGTGCTCTAAGTGGTGAGTGTAGGTAATGTGTGCATGAGTGGAAAAATGGCTTTACCACCAGAGGTGCAGACCACATGCTCCCTCGCTGGATCACCAGGAAAGCAGTCAGTAGCATTAAAGGACCACCAGGGATCAGACCCCACTGGACTGCTAGGGATTATTCTCCCCTTCCTGTGGAAAGATAAGCAGGATGGGGTAAAAACACTTTAAAAAAACAAACAAAAAAAAACCAAACCACACAACACCCAACACACAAGCACACTCAATGAACCCCACACACAATCACACTCAGTCCCTTAAACATGTAATCACACTTAGCCAACTCTACACTCAATCACTCTAAGCGAATCTCACACTCAGTCATACTAAACCAGCCCACAATCATAATTAGCCAACTCCACACATACATAGAACACTTAATCAACCACTTCAATCACACTTAGGTGTAATCCTTAGGGTGCAGTGACGAGGGCCCAGTGGATCTTAGTGACAATCCTGGTATGAGTGCTGCACATGCTTCATAACAGTACCTGAGTAGTGTTTATAGTATCAATGAGGAATATTGTCTGTAATTCGAAAACAGTGTATCCATCTGAAGGCTGCATTTAGGTGTTGGCTATGTGAAATATATTCAGGTTTATTCAATAAAGTGACAATTAAATAGAATTTAGAATTAATTCAAAGTGAATTTCAGAATGAAAGTCAAATTAGCCACATTGGAAAATACATCTCCAAATCAATTATGCTTTTAGCTTGGCTACTTTTGCCTTAAAATTTAAATTCATTTTAAATTATCTACAAATCTCACTTAGGTGAATAATCCTGTGGCTCCTAAAATTTGAGCTGGCCCCTTGAAAAAACATAGGCCCCAGGTTAATATTTAATGTATAAGCTTTTTAAATGAGTTAATATTTATCATAATATAATAATAATTTCATATTCATGGACACACTTTTAAAATAATATTTTCAACCTTGCTTGGCATGCCCTTTATCTTATGCTTCTGTTTTATCTATGTGCATTTTTATTTTATGTAATGTAAAGACATTCAATAAACATAATTCTTGAAATAAAAAAAAATAAAAAAAAATATATAATATTTTCAAAAAATTAAAATATAAAATAAATAAATACATATTTATATAAAAATAGCAATACATAAAAAAAATCAAAATATTAAAATACATTTCAAAATATTAAATAATGTTAAACATTTAGCCAAAATATTAAATCATTTGTAAATCTAATTCAAAAATATTAATTATTGTATGTTGTATGAATTAGCCCCGAGCAGCACCTTATAATGTATGTATGTAATCAGCGTTGAACAGCTACAATGAACATATGTGTTTTACCACCCAAAAAGTAGCATACTGATTCTCAAAAGGAACAAACTGAATTCAAGGAAAAATTTGTAGCTATTCAATGCTGATTACATAGCTTGTATACAATGTATCTACACTTGGGTAAGATATCCTATATTGCACTCTATTTTATGTTCACATGACACTTCCCATTTGGTGGCCAAATTATTTTTATATGTGATATGATGCATTGCTTATCTGGCGGTATACTACTTTTGCTTGGTTCCTTGTGTATTCCGGTATCGTTTAGTGATATTTCTCTTGTGAACCTCTTGTTACTTGGCATCAGATACTGTGGCCTGACAGCTATTGATCCAAACTATGTAAGGAATCTTGTAGTTTTAGTAATTTTAATAGTGGGAGACTCTCTCAGTGAATAGTATATAACTTATGTGATATCACTTTTATATTCACAATTCTTTGTATAAGTGATGGATGAGTGTGTTATAGGGTATGTGGTTCAGTTGGATTTGATCCTGTGGCACTGCCAGATTACAGCCTTTCATAAAGTAAAATGTTGATGTAATGTGAGTGTACTCACAATAAATATTTGAATTTGGTTGAAAAAGTCCAGTGAGAGTTTTACTTCGTGATCGTTATATATATTTTATACATGTATATCTCAGTATTCCAATATTTAAATTATAAAGTGTTGTGGATTGGTGCTATATAAATAGTAATAATAATATTGCTAATATGACACATGAATTGTGTACATTACTAGTGTAGATTACCAGCTATACCAATTTATGTCAGAGATTCCAGAGATTCAATAGACTAATTGTGTGCCATTTGCTTCACCCAGTATACATGAACCACCAAATACTGGGTGCATTACTCTTGTTCTGCCAGTTGGCTCCCTAATTCAGTGTAGACTGCAAACCTAAAGCCCATTTGCTGAGTATTTTATTAATAATGTTTTATTGAATAAAATCTGTTTATGTTTTTCAGGCGATATGTATGGCATTTCGTCAGGAGAGGTAAGAATAGAGAAGCACTCAATTCATTAACTATAATGGTGGCAAGGGTACATTTATGACTGGCACATAGTAGCCTGATAGCTTTTGTATCCAATGATTCTACTAATACCTGCTGTGTTTTTTGTCCCACTTTTATGGATATAACTTAGGCTGAATACTCTGTGATATAAAATTAAATTCTTCAGTCTTTGGTCATTGCTAATTTAATATAAGACTGTTTTCATAGTCATCATTTTTGTAATTGTGTTCTTTCAATTTAATTTTCAGTTGCAAAGGCATGGTGGACACGTACACAGTCACCAGAATTCCGAATTACAATGCAAACTATGCAATCAAATATTTCCAGAACATCAAAAACAAATGTTTGAGGATCATTTGTTATGTCATGAGCTGGACAATTGTCCATGAAATAGCACATGCAATTCAGTGCAAACTCTTCCACAGTGATGCCACCAGGCAGGAAGGGCAAATCTCAATGTTATCTAAATAGTAAAGAGAAGGTCCGAGCACATATGGTTTTGTCCTTAGCAGGCTTTATTTAGGAACAGAGTTTAGCAAGCTTGAAAGGCTTTTTTCTGAGCCGAAACATTGTTAAACTCTAGTCCTAAATAAAGCATGTTAAGGACCAGTTTATGTCTCTCTTTACTATGCCATGAGCTGGAGTGATCTGTAAAATAAAATGCCTAAATATATTTCTATATGTAGATAAACAGACCTCCTTACACTGGATAATGCGTATACTATTTTATTTACATTGAGAAATGGCAACATTTATAGAAATTCTGTATAATTTTCTTGTCAGCAACTGTTTCTTTCCTGTTTCTCTATACCAGCAGTGAATTCTGGTAGGAGATTTAATTTTTTTTTTTTTTATTATTAAATAGGATGCTCTTTATTTTATTTTATCTAGTTAAATTACATTTTCTGTTTAGTGAGCATTTATAGTCTCGGTATATACCGAACTATCGGTCTATACATATTTTACATTATTTGCCTGTTATTTCAAATGACAGATTCCCATAATTCACAAGGATTACATCACCTGTGAAATTTCATTTTTGTGTGGCTATCCATGTTTTGTGGGACTCTTGCAGCTTCTTCAACTGAAAGATATGTTTGCTTGTCAGTCAGAGTGTCAATCTATATATGTTCTTCTATGTCAGTCAGTATATGTGCTTGTCAGTGTACTCTGTGGGCCAAAATGGGTTTGAGCCAACTGGGGGGGGGGGGATCAGAAGATCTCCCCCAACTGGGTTTGTGAATCAAAAGAAATATATAAAATGGTGGCTACTGTGTTTTATACTGACCATGCATTTTACTCCGCACCCCATTGCTGGCACTTAACTGTTATGTAGGGAGTTACAGGAAAGAGGTTAAAGCCTGGGCCTTTTTAAATTTGCACTGAGACTAGAGTTTTAATTTGCACTGAAACTGGAGTCTTTATAGTCCTACTCATCATGAACATCAACTAACAGGAATAACATGCTGGTAAATATATCACAACCTGGGAGGGCTAAGGATCTGATGGAGAAAAGGTAATGTAAAGAAAGGGGATCCAACCCTAAGAGAAAAGATAATACAGTGGACTGTGTATCACTTGCATTAGAGCAGTAGTTTTAATAGTTGTGTGTGTAGTAAATACTTTTTATTAAATTATGTTATGAAAAGAGAGACACTTAGTACTCAAAAAAAGTATTTTAAAATTGTATGTATAGAAACATAGAAATGGTGGTCTGAGAGAAGCCCCCGCCCTCCACCCCCCCAAAAAACATCAAGAAAGTATATGTGGTAATGTTATACTACCATGGGACTAGCATAGATCATTTTTAGATTTATAGTTTTAAGATATCATTTTTGGATAAATACTGTCCATGTTTTATTAAAAATTACAACTATCATATTTTGACCTTTCAATCCTAAATCTATATTATAGAGTAGCTAAAATAGAACACAAAACACTAGGTGCCAGATGAACCTAAATCCATTATATCTACAAGATTGCTATTCTTTTTTTTTAATATTTATTTTATTTATCAATGTTTTCCTTTCCTTTTATACATAGTCAAATAGACAGTTATTATATTGATTTTGTAAATATCAATATTACTTCCTTAGTATTACTACAATGATATATAGTTATTTAATCTTCTGAAACATTATAGCATTTTTGAGACTCGGTTTGGGATGGGAGGGGGACTCTTGGATCAGGGATGTCCCTTAAAATAATTACTTGGAATGTCCAGGGTATGAACTCACCTCAAAAAAGGGGAGCTGTATACAAATTTTTAATTGAAAACTCAATAGATGTAGCTTTTATCCAGGAGACTCATTGGATTGATACTTCTGATAGACTATGGAAATATAAAAAATTCCCTACAGTTTATGCGGCAAATTTAGAAGGTAACAAGAAAAAAAGGGGAACGGCTATCATTATTTCCAATCGATTTAGTCTTGAAGTTATTCATTCAATAACTGATAAAAATGGTAGATATCAGGTTTTAATTATAAAAATCAATGGTCTCACATTTACCTTTGTAAATATATATGCCCCGAACTATAATCCATCAGCCCTCCTAGATCAAATTATGGACATTGTAGATGAAGTCGCCTGTGGTAATATTATAATGGGAGGAGATTTTAATAGCGTTGTTGATTTAACTAAAGATAGAAGTCATAAATATTCTGGGAATGATAGTACCTGTAATATAGGATCATCAGGTTTATCCGATTTTTTAGCCAAAAATTCCATGTTTGACTGCTGGCGAACCTTGAATCCTCAGGAAAGAGATTACACATTTTTTTCGCATGTACACCAAACCTATTCTCGTATTGATATGCTTTTTGTGAAAGAAAGTGTCTTAATTAATATTATAAAATCCACAATTGGTTCTATAGTGATTTCGGATCATGCTCCAGTTTCCTTGAGAATTAAGTTGAAAGAAGGAAGTATTCCAAGGACTAAGTGGAGGCTTAATGAAAGCCTTTTGAAAGATGAATATATCAAGGACCAAATAAAAAGAGAATTAGAAAATTTCTTAGAAATTAATTATAATGGAGAGGTTGCAACATCAATTGTATGGTGCACCTTAAAAAGCTATATAAGAGGATTACTAATAAAGTTTGGTTCCGAAAATAAACGGAAGAAAGGTGAATCACTACATGTCCTGAGGATTAAATTAGCGAAACTGGAACGGCTAAATAAAATATCAATAAACAGGGAACTAACAAATGAAATTAATAATATAAAGCTAGTTATTAGGGATAAAATATATGTGGAGATAGGCAAAAATCTATCCTTTCTTAAACAAAGATGGTATCATAATAATAATAAAATTAATAGGGATCTCTCTAACAAAATAAAGAATCAATATAGAGATAAATCTATAAAAAAACTGATGACTAAAGGAGGAAAGGTTGTAAATCTACCTAAAGATATAGCAGAGGCCTTTGCAACATTCTATAGCTCACTATATAATTTAGAGGAGGTTAAGGCAAGCAATGAAGAAATCGATAGATTTCTTAAGGAACTTGGACTTCCTAGGTTAAGTCTAGAGAAACTAGAACATATTAATGCCCCTTTTAGAGAATTGGAAATTGAAGAAGCGATAGAGAAATTAAAACCAAATAAGGCCCCTGGCCCAGACGGATTCTCTGCTATTTTTTATAAAACATATATGAAAACATTAACTCCAATTCTTTTAGAGATGTTCTCGTCAATATCTAGTGATGCGCCATTCCCAAAAGAGATGATGTTAGCAACAATTATTCCGATTCCAAAGCCAGATAAGGATAATTTAATAATTGATAATTATAGACCAATATCACTTATAAATGTTGATATTAAAATATTCTCGGCTATCTTGGCCAATCGTCTAAAAGAAGTAATGGGAGATTTGATTAATTGGGATCAATCAGGATTTGTGAAAGGAAGAAGTACCTCCGATAATACTAGGAGGATTTTTAATATTATAAATAGAGTGAGCGGTCAATGGGGGGAAGCTGTTATCATCGCCCTGGATGCCGAGAAGGCCTTTGACAGAGTCAATTGGAGATTCTTGGACTCTGTCATGGGCCATTTCGGACTGGAGGGAGCATTTAGAAATAAAACCTTGTCTTTATATAGGAATTCCTCGGCAAGAATTAGCAGCCCATATTTTGATTCTGATCCTTTTGATATTAGGAATGGTACTAGGCAGGGTTGCCCGCTAGCTCCACTCCTATATATCCTTACAATTGAACCACTGGCTATGATGATAAGACAGAATGATAAGATAAAAGGAATAGATTTTCAAGAGGAACATATTAAGATATCTCTGTTTGCAGATGATGTCCTGCTTACCCTTGTTGACCCCTTACTATCAATTCCACCGTTGCTAGAAGATATCTGTACATACAGCAAATTCTCTAACTATAAGGTTAATATTAATAAATCTCAAGTCCTTCCATATCTATTGACTAAGGTACAGTTGGAAACTTTGCATTCCTATTTTCATATAGAATGTGTAAAAGATAAAATTGAATATCTAGGTATAAAGATAACATTTAATACCTTAAAGACAATTCGGATAAATTTTGATGATCTATATAGGGATCTACAATCCCAGATACATAAAATGAAGAGATTAGAACCATCTTGGATAGGAAGAGTTAACATTACCAAATCGTACTTAATGCCAAAACTTATATACTTTTTTAGGATGATTCCATATAATATCGAACAGGGCACCCTGAAGCATTTTCAAAATTTATTTTCTAGCTATATATGGTGTGATAAACCACCCAGAATAGCGACGGAAATCCTATGTAGAAGTTACCGGAAAGGGGGAATAGCATTTCCCGATGTGATTAAGATGTATGAGGCAAATAGGGCTTCCCAACTTATGACATGGTTAAATTTGGACCAAGATATATCTAAATCTTGGCTTAAAATTGAACAGAAATCAGTACCAGGGCAAAAGTTAAATATCTTAGGTTGGCTAGGACTTCTGAACCTGGGGGCTCTGGATATGGAAAAGTTTCCTAATAAAATTATAGGAGATATGGTGGATTTTGCAAAATATTTGAATATTAAGCTGAAACTTAAAGGAAAAATATTGCTTAATACACCTATAGATATACTTCAATATGCTATGTCAGATATAAATATTAAAACTTGGATTCATCCTGGCATTAAAAAAATTGGAAATCTATATGAAGGATCTAAACTGGTGACATATACACAATTACAACTAAAATACAAATTTTTACCTAGGGAAATATTCCAATACCTAAGGATCAAGAATTTCCTCTTAACTAAAATATTGATTAAAGATCACTATCTTGAACCCTATATTATATGCAGTCAAAAAAAAGGAGGAATCTCTAGATTTAATAAACTGTTTGATACATTAGATAATGTTGATGTGTCTCCATTTGGTAAGTGGGAGAGGGATATGGGGAAATCCCTCCCACTTAAAGAATGGACAAATGCTACAATGTTAGTAAAACAAAGTATACATAATATATCCTTACTTGAAACGCACTTGAAGATTATCTATAGGTGGTATATGGTCCCGGTTAGACTTCATAAAATATCTCCATCCTATTCAAAGGAATGCTGGAGATGTAAAAGAGAAGAGGGCACTATGCTACATATATGGTGGGCCTGTTCGGGCCTGAATAACATCAAAACTCAAATGCTAGACTTAATGAAAACTATCTTTAAGGAGGTAGCAATTAGCCCTGAAATGTTTCTGTTCAATATGGACTATAAAACAAATGATAAACAACAAAAATACATTATGACGCATATATTTTTGGCAATAAAAATTAATATCGCTAGAGCATGGAAATCTCCTAACCCACCACTTTGGCAAGAAATAATGGAGCAAATAAGGTTTCAATATAAGATGGAATCTCTAACTAAGGGGCTGAAAGAGCTTTGGATACCCTGGACCTCCAAATTCCCTACATAATATATCATAACGAGTTGTCTGACACCCACCCCTCACCGAGTCTCATATAAATGTGTTTTTTTTTTTTTTTTGGATGTTTTGTTGCTGTGAACAATAAGTAATGTTAATGCTACAAGATTGCTATTCTAATAATACACTCAGATGGAATCGATCTTGAATAATATTGTCTATAGATGTAAGCTCTATCAAGTGTAATATAGGGCTTAATGCTATACTTCTGTACTGCCTACTGCTGAATTTTTCACAGTCGCTAATATCTTGGTAGCTCAATTTCCCATTAGATTTTATTAGACAGGCCCTGTCATCTCCCCAAGAAAGATAGGTGTAAACTAGAGAATAGTTTTAAACATTTTCCCTGTAGTCCATTGGATTCTATCTCAATAAATGTTTCCTTACTGCCCATTATAATCACTTACTTTCTTGTCATTTAGACCTAAACTACTCAATGACCACTATTTGATACACTATCGTAGTATTTACTGCCTAAAATGTGTAATAAATATCAAACTAAAGCTGGTAACTAGGTTAGGAAGAACCTAACTTGTGTTTTGCCCTGCATCTGCATAGGCTTGTCGTACTTTTTAAATGTTTTAAAATTCTTTATTTATGCAGTGCAGATAGTTACAAACAGGCCTGCCAGGCTCAAACAGCATAAACAAGCTTCAGAGATCACAAAGTAGAACAAGTGTGTGGCATGCGATAGTAGTGCACCATTTAGAAAAACTTTTTAACCAGTTATATAGCATTATATTGGTATCGTGCCATGTATGTTAAAGCTTAGGCTGCGATTAGGCATTGCAAAAGGAGAGAAAAAAAGCATGCTTAAGGCAAGCAAGAGATTTAACTATTCAAGAGCTGGAGCGGCTCAGACATCATTATGGTGTCAGCAAGACATGGGAGAGTCCCAGAACACATGGAGTAGCCAGCACACATCTAGCCGATGCCCAAGTAAGGAAACCATCCGTCGTGCGTGTAAGTAAAGGTGCCTATGAGGTCCCGCCATGGAGTCCGAGTCCGCCCCTGTTCAGCATTGATGCTGTCCGTTGTGACAGCCCGGGCTTCAGCCAGAGCTCGCACCCACAGCCCCCCACTGCTGGTAGCATGAGAGCAGGGATCTTGAAATAGGCTGGTCATGCTGAAAGTAAGGGAGCTTGTTCCGCGCTCTGGGCTGCAGGAGTAGAGGTAAGCCTCCTAGCATATAGTTTTGCCCATAATAAGGCACAGATGTGGTTGAACTTCAGGAGGAGCGGATCCACAAGTGTAGAGGGTTGCTGGGTGGCATTCATATTGGCAATCCTTGGTGGGACTACCATTTTATCTGTTAGGCCGCAAATCTCCAACTTGCTCTTGAATACTAGATTATTGTTAGATGATTGTGCCAAGATCTTCTGTGAGGACCGGGCTAACCCCCACCATTCCAAAGGCGGGTGGAAACGGGGCACAAGGCATGCGAGCACCAGGTCAAGGCCGAGGATCGTCCGCCTCCCTGTCTTCTACTGGTTTTGCAGGCCGCAGGTAAGATTGTCACCGGCTGCATCCACTTGCTGCGAGCAAGAGAGTGCCAATAGATTAAGAGGGTATCCCTCAGGGTTGGGAGCAAGGTATTCACCGAAAAGAGTACAAAAAAATAAATTTTCAGCTAAGTAAAAGATATTCCCTGAGGAGCTCAAGCACCATGCGACCGTCTCAGTTGGCTGCCAGGCCAAGCCCCTCTTGACGTACTTTTTAAAACATAATTCAATGAAAGTTAAAGTCCTCTAAAGGCTAGTCTTCTAATGCAAGTGAGAAAACAATCTGATGAATTTTCAAGTTTAGTCAGGAGACCAGGCACTCCTGTAGCATTAGACTGGAACTAAGTCACATGTTTTTAATATTTCAATGCAATCTTTTTCGTTAATGTATTTGAAGAAAATACACTAATTCTGTCTATAATTATTGTTTTATAGTCTGTTTTTACAGTAAAACACTATACTAGACATTTTAACAGTGTGTAAAAGTTTGAGTTATTGATTTACAATTATTATTTACATTTTTTTTAACTTTTACTCTTATAATGTAAACACATTATTTCCTGATTGTTTTTGGATATACACAAATTATAGGAAAAGTGCCAGTTTCTTTTTAAACAATATCAGCAATAAAATAAAATATACATCAATATCCGTGTACAATATTGAAAAAAATATAAAAAGGAGTTGTAATGTTAAATTGTTAATCAGTTTAAGGGATAAGAAATCAAAGTTTAAAGGGACACTATAGTCACCAGAACAAGTACAGCTTTTTGCAGTAAACACTGTCTTTTCAGAGAAAAGACAGTGTTTACATTACAGCCTAGGGATACCTCTACTGGCCACTACTCAGATGGCACAGTGTGCAGCACTACCATTCAGCATCTCCATCCTCTGCATGGAGACACTGAACTTTCCGCATAGAGATGCATTGATTCAATGAATCTCTATGAAGAGATGCTGATTGGCCAGGGTTGTGTTTGGCTTGTGCTGGCTCTGCCCTTGATCTGCCTTCTTCGACAGTCTCAGTCAATCCTATGGGAAAGCATTGTTATTGACGCAGATAATCACTGATGATGTCAGCCAAGCAGGCAGATCAGAGGCAGAGCCAGCAGCTGCAGTCTTGAATAAAAATAAGATTTTACTATATTTAGGGGACAGGGGGGCTAGATGGTGGATTTAACACTATAGGCTCAGGAATACATGTTTGTGTTCCTGACCTTATAGTGTTCCTTTAATTAAGAAAAACTTAAAACAAAACAAAGCCTTGTTGCCTCTGTCAAATACACCAATAATATAGACTTTGTTTTAATGATTTTGCATATGCTTTTCAGATACATTTATAAAATTATTTTTCAAAATATTAAAATATGAAAAAAATATACAAAAACGTACATCAATATATAAAAAAATTAAAACGTTAAAATATTTTTCTAAAAGATAAATAATCTTAAAAGTTTATACAAAAACAATTTAATAATTAGAAAATATCCAAAAAATATATTAAATTAGGACATAATGATATAAAATAGGATAAAAATGAAAAGATAACACCAAAACAAACCTGAAAAACATGAGTTATGAGGTCATGTTGCAAAAAGATTGTCCTGGATGGCCATAGGAGGTGGGAGATTATACAGCAATGAAGTATTAAGTAAAGTTTGATGTAAATGCTAGTTGGTTTGTTGAAATGCATGTTTGATTTTGTGCTAAAATAAAAGGTTGCAAAATTGTGAAAAAAAACCATTGTTAACTTTTCTTTATGAATACACGTTTTAACCTATCCATACAGAAAGCACTGTAGAGTTTGTTAAGAAAAACTGAAATGATTGGGGAATCCTGCTGGATTCAGTTTTGTAAAATAGATTTGCTTCCCAGCATTCCCAGGATGGAAATCAGATTAGAATGTCTTGAATCTATTGAGTTTTTTTACTAACCACAAAAAAACATAAAATTATATATATATATATATATATATATATATATATATATATATATATATATATATATAAAAATCCTAAAGGAAGTGTCAATGCAATTATCAATGATCAAAAAAAAATGGACTTTGGTTCACTAACACACTCTTCATGTTTGCCATTTGTCCCCTGACCACAAGGAGGATAGAGGCAGAAATTCATATTAAAGTCATATTTTATCATTTTGACAGCTATGCTTAGTGATCCATGTTATATCAATTGCACAAATGCTGAATTGGCTGTTGCTAGACGAACATAGAACAAGTTAAAAGGTGAATGTTGAATATATTTATATGTTTATGCAGCACTAGCCACACCTCTTCTGTCACTCACACTGCCTGCATGAAAACACAATGGCTTAATTTTTTAATCAGATGTAACTCACTTTAAATGTTTTTAATTCCTGCTCTGTAGGTTGAACATTAATTACATACAAAAGGCAAGTGCAGGGTCTAGCAAGCTAATAACAGAGCAGTAGATAATAATATCTAATTAGTGGGGTAATAGCTGCTGATCCAAGGCGATATCTGACTGCCATTTTAGGGTCAAAAAGGATTTTTCCTAGTTTGTTGCAAAATTTAAAGCGCTTCAGACTGGATTTAATGCCTTCTTTTGGATCAACAGCAAAAACAAATGTGAGGAAGGCTGAACTTGATGGACACAAGTCTCTTTTCCGCTATGTAACTATATACCAATGGAATATGTTTTAGTGCAGGGGTCCTCAAACTTTTTAAACAGGGGGCCAGTTCACGGTCCCTCAGACACTTTTGGGGGCCGGACTATAAAAAATATGAACAAATTCCTATGCACACAGCACACACACGCATAAGGACATTGTTAAGACACCTCTAGTGTCTTTAAGCCAAACCGCCGTTTAGTAGACCTTTCCCGGCTGCAGTACAGTCTCCGTTCGCTTACTCTGTGACACACGAACCAAATGCAGGGGAAGCGGCAATCTCCCGATTGAGATCCGTGAACGGCTCCAAACTCCCGAAAGGCAATACACGAACTGCTGGTAACCGTCGAACAGCAATATTCCCCAAGCGGCTTTCGTTCCATCCAGCAGTCTCTAAACGTGAAGAAGAAATCCCCCCAATAACGAGACAGAAGCTCCGCATTGAGGGTCAAACAGGATCTGGCTTTACTCTGGGCTACCTGCCCGTATTTATGCAGGTCTCCCACCTGGTGGACACTCCCCTAGGGGACCAAATGGGAGACTTAAATGACAGACAGATATGGGGACATTCTAGACACACAGTCACAGATTTTACCCACAGTGCATTATGATTCCCTCCCCTCTGCCCTGGAGTTAATTACCAAGTAACTCAATTAACTCCAGGACAAAGCCAGTCGCCATCTTAGACATAAAATAATAAAAGACATAAAAATATATAACTACATAAAAACCGAACATTTCCCATTCGTATTACATGTCCCCAGATAGCCTGGATCTGAGTGCATATTATTAGCGAATAGCGCTCAGATCCCACACACATAGTTCAATCGCCATGGAGTCAAAGTTCTTACAGTCTTTCGGTATACGAATGACTCCATGGGAAGGCTATCTGGGTTAAGTCTTTTCGTATGCTCTCAATCTCCCGAACGGCCGGTGTTCGCATGCTTTCGTGGAGGCAGCCAGGCGTTCCGTTGTTTCAGCGGTGTTCGGCAGAAAAAGTGTCCGTTTTCAGTTCCATAGAAATAGAGCCAAACACCGCTGGGCGTTCGCTTGATTTAAAATGGCCGCTGCCTCGTGGTCGACATACGAACGACGACCACCCTGAATTCGGTTTAATTGAGAAGTGTCTGCGGTTAACCACAATGTTCTAATTGGGATCACTTCGTTAACCAGCAGCACACTCCTCACTTGGGTGGCCGTTCGTTCGGCAGGTTTGTTCGGGAAAAAGAGTCATTTGAATGGCTGGGCTATAGAAACCAGCCATTCATACGAACGGGAGACAAACAGACGAACGCAGTAAAAATCCAAGCAGACAGATGGTTCTGTCACACGGCTCCCTCCTTGTGGGACACTCCGGCAGACCCGGCTTGACCCTGTGGCGAGTCAACTTGGGGATGACCGGACTACGAGGTGAGGGAAACGTCTGTTTGTCGTGACAACCCATCTGCATTCCCGTTCAGCTTACCGGGTCTGTAGCTGATGGTAAAATTGTAGGGCTGTAGTGCCAAGCTCCATCTCAGCAGTCTCCCATTGTCTCCTGAGACCCGGTTAAGCCAAACGAGTGGGTTGTGATCAGTCACAAGGGAAAATTCTTGTCCATACAAATAGGGGCTTAACTTTTTCAATGCCCAGACCAAGGCCAAACACTCCTTCTCCACTGCCGCATAACTCACTTCTCTGGGTAACAACTTTCTGCTAAGATATGCGACAGGGTGCTCTCCTCCATCTTCCCCGACTTGGCTCAGCACAGCCCCCAGTCCATACATGGAAGCATCTGTATGGACGAGAAAGCGTTTGTTAGGGACTGGGGCTGCCAAGACAGGGGCATTCACAAGAGCCTGCTTCAGTGCCTGAAACGCAGCTTCACAAGCCGGAGACCACAGGACCTGCTTAGGCAAGTTTTTCTTGGTCAGGTCTGTCAGGGGCTTAGCAATAGCGCTGTAGTCAGGGACAAAACGTCTATAGTACCCTGCCGTCCCCAAGAAGGCCAATACCTGGGTCTTAGTAGTAGGTGTGGGCCAGTTAGCCACTGCCTCTACCTTGGCTGGCTCTGGTCTCTGGCTCCCACACCCCACTCTGTGACCCAGGTATTGTACTTCAGCCATACCTAGATGGCACTTTTCTGGCTTCAATGTCAGGCCAGCGGCCCGAATTTTATCCAGCACTACCCCTACATGTACCAGGTGTTCCTCCCAGGACCCACTGTAAATCGCAATGTCGTCCAAGTATGCACAGGCAAATTCTTGAAAGCCATCCAGGAGTCTATCCACCATCCGTTGGAAGGAATTGGTACAGGCCAAATGGGGTGACAAATGCCGACTTGGGGATAGCATCCTCGGCCAGGGGGATCTGCCAGTAGCCCTTACACAGGTCTATGGTGGTCAGATATCGCCCCCTGGCAATACGATCTAGTAATTCGTCTACCCGGGGCATTGGGTAGGCGTCAGTGGTGGTCCGCTCGTTGAGTCGCCTGTAGTCCACACAGAACCGGGTGGTCCCATCTTTCTTGGGCACCAGGACTACAGGCGAGGCCCAAGGGCTGTCGGAGTGCTCGATGACCCCAAGCTGAGTCATCTCCTGTATCTCCTTCCGCATTCCTTCACGGACTGCTTCAGGGATACGATAGGGGGGCTGTCGTAACGGGGTCTGTCCAGGGGTCTCTACCTTATGCACAGCTAGGGTGGTATAACCTGGTTCCTGGGAGAACGTCGCCTGCTTCTCCCATAACAACTGCTGCGCCTGTACCCTTTCTGTGGGGTTCAACCGGTCCCCTAGCTGTACCAAGGTAGTAAGGTCAGTCTGGGAATCCCTTTCTAATAGATCGGGAAGGGGTAAATTCTCAGAATCATCTGCAGCTGGGGCACATACTGCTGCAATATTCTCAGGTCTCTCCTGGTACTCTTTCAGCATGTTCACATGAAAGGACCGCTGGATCCTTTCATCTGCACAGCTGGCTATCAAGTAAGTAGTGTCGCAGATCTGCGCCACTACCTTGTACGGGCCCTGCCAAGATGCTTGCATCTTGTTGGCCTTCACAGGTTTGAGCACCAATACCTTTTGCCCAACCTGGAAGACCCGCTGTCGGGCACCCTGATCGTACCATCTCTTCTGTCTCCCCTGGGCCGCCTGGAGATTCTCCCTTACCATCAGGGACAGTTTCTCCATGCGGTCCCGGAGTTCCAGAACATATGGCACTATGGGGGTCCCCTCTTGCTCCGTCTCCCCCTCCCAGTGGCCTCTAATGAGATCTAGGGGTCCGCGGACCCTTCTCCCATACAGCAGCTCAAAGGGGGAGAACCCAGTAGATTCCTGGGGCACCTCTCTATAAGAAAATAATAGGTGAGGCAGGAATCTCTCCCAGTCGCTGCAAGTGTCTGTAAAGGTCCTCAGCATCTGTTTGAGGGTACCGTTAAAGCGCTCGCAGAGACCGTTAGTCTGTGGGTGGTAGGGTGAGCTAAGTAACAGCTTAATGCCACACACCTTCCACAGCTGCTGGGTGAGCACAGCGGTGAATTGGGTTCCCTGGTCGGAGAGAATCTCCTTAGGAAACCCGACCCTAGTAAAAATTCTAACCAGGGCATCAGCAACCGTCTCTGCCTCTATGTTAGACAGCGCTACTGCCTCTGGATAGCGAGTGGCATAGTCCACCACGGTAAGAATGTATTTCTTACCTGATGGACTAGCCCTGGCCAGTGGACCCACGATGTCAACGGCTATGCGGGCAAAGGGCTCCCCTATAATAGGCATCGATAATAGCCTAGCCTTAGGGTGGTCCCTCCGCTTTCCTACCCGTTGACATGTGTCACACGTACTGCAGTACATCCGCACAGCCTGGTTAAAGTTTGGGCAAAAGAAATTCTATGAGATCCTATAGGCTGTGCGGCGGGACCCTAGATGTCCAGCTAACGGAACATCATGCCCTATCCGCAGAATCTCCTGCCGGTACTTTGCAGGTACCACTAACTGGCGATTCGGCGGAGAGGCAACACTTTTCTGGGAAGGTTTAGGGATCCTATATAACCTGTCCCCCACCCACTCATACCGTTCCCCATCTATTCCTTCCTCTCCAGCATCTGCCCTGTCTTTGTACT